TGAGTGCAGAGGAGTTATTATTAAGTTCAACTGCATGTTTTTCCTGTGCTACTGCTTTTTGTTTACTTATCGCCTCTGTTCGGACAAGTATTTCTGTCATCGTTACTAAAGAGGAAAAGTCATTTAAGTTGTGGAATCGAGTACAATGTCTTTGAAGACATCTTCTTGTACTGACCGGTATATAGAGATCTTTTGAGAACGTAGGTTTACAGTATTTTAAAGATGCGATGTTGTTGATGATACTTTTGATGTTGTGATAAAATATATTGGTTAATGTGTCGGTATTGTTTGAGGTAAAGAAAGTTCTCCAATCAGTGCTTCTTAGGTAATTGTGGAAGTTATTCCAATCAACCTTGCGAAAGTTTCTACGAAGTGTTACGGTTTTACTTCTATCGGTTGTGGTTTTTACATTAAGGCTGCATATGACAGTGTTATGATCACTACCTGGGAACTTTTTTCCAATATACAAAGTATTGGGGATGAGGCCACTGGTAAAGACTAAGTCTAATATGTTTTGATGTCTGGTAGGGCTATCAACATACTGAGTCCATTGTCCAAGCTCTAGACATTCAATAAATGATTCATAACGTCTCGGCGCTTTGACTGGCAGCCAAGAAATTTCGGGCATATTGAAGTCACCACAAATGAGCTTGCCTGTGAATGAGAGGAATGATGCTAGTGTGAATACCTCCGATAATACTGCTATTTCATCTATTGATGCGTTAGGTTGAGATGCACAGCTCTCAATCTTAAACAGGTGAATACATAACCATATCGCTTTTCAGTACTTCTACCGTGTTTAACCATAATGGATCCAAAATAATCTACCCCAACTGATAAGAATGGATAGTCACCACCTTCTATTCTGACCGGAGGCAATGGTGCCATTAGTTGTTGAATGGGGCGGGCGTTCCTCCTTCTACAATCAACACACTTCTTTATCACCCTCCTCATGACTACGCCACCCCTCAGCACCCAAAATCTTTCTCGGACCGTTGCCATTACCTGTGTAGCTCCAACATGTCCCTCCAAAGTATGGTAGTACTGTAGAATCAAATATGTAATTGTATGCTTCGATGGTAATATTATAGGATGCTTCCTCGACTCAGGCCAGGAACTAATTTGAAGTCGGCCACCGACACATAATAATCCGCTTATCATCACTGGATTTAAGATTCGTAAAGATGAATTTTTTAATTTTACCTTGCTAATGGTATCAGACGACAATATTTCAATCTCTTTCCGAAATACTAAGCGTTGGACATATCGAATTAAATCTAAACAAGCTAAATTTAATTCATCAACTCTGAGCATACCCACCTGTAGAGACAGATCAGTTCTACCAGAACGCATTACCAATAAATATCGCTTAAATCGGGTTAACCATGCAGCAGCCTTCAGTAATCTAGTCCAATCTGTTGCATGTCATAGCTATGTGACCTTTCCTCAAACATAAGTAACATAGACCACGTTTTCTTACCTCCTGCCTCCTTTCTTTTACATTCATTTTTGCTAACCTTGGACAATTTGTCGCTTCATGATCACCTACGCAGATTTCACAGCGTGATACCTTGACTGAGTTATTTGGGTCTCGTCTAATTGCATGAAAGCGTGATCTCCTATCAGCTTGGCCTTCAGAATTCCTTTTACCGAACCTCAAGTTACACTGTACTAATCTACCATAACGGGTTCGGGCAATTCTGGCCCTCTCTTCTACAAAGACCACAAATTCTTCAAAGCTCGTCTCCTTCCCATGCATCATGATCATATCGGCGACTTCCACCCACTTATTCTGCAATTCTAGTGGTAGGCGTGAAACTATTACCTCCAAATTAGTCGTAGAATTAACTTCAGACATATATCCCGTTTGCTTCAACGTTATACATACATTACGCAACTTAATCGCAAAGTCAGTTAATACGTCAGCCGATCCTCCGACAGATTTATGGTTTAATAACTCAATAATTAGTTCTCGTGCAACAAGATGTTCTTTACCAAATAAATCATACAAAATTCGTTTAGCCCTATCATAGCCCAAATCACTGGGCAAAGAAACGCAAGATTCAATTGCTGTTCTGGCCTTTCCCTTGCAATAATATAACAAATACGACAACAATTGGCCCTTATCTGACAATTTACTCTCTATAAGGCTATTAAACTGACTAATGAAACGGTAATAAAGACCCGGTCGCCCATCAAGGTACATCATATCGATCTTAGGTAAAACCATGTTACTAACCATTGTATGTAACGTGTCCTTCAGCTCCCCAACCCAATCGACTTTTGAGATGTTACATACCTCCCCTGAGTGATTATTACACCCAGTATCACAATCCAAATAATTTTCCACTTTAGCATTTATCCCACATTTATCTACGGGTAATCGTTCATCGTCCTCGATAGCCTTGCATTCTAGTTCAGCGATATCAACCTCTTCTTGTAGATCTAACATCTTAAGTTGCCGTTCTAATTCAAGTCTCTTCCCTTATTTCCTTTTCCTCAGTAATGCTTTATCTAACTTTATTCTAGAAGTACTTAGATGGCTAGAGGACATACTATTAAGACTAACATCATCACATTTATCATCATTAACATCAGACATACCACAAACAGCTTTGGAAGTTTTACCATCCATTTCGTCATTTTCCTTTAGCCCTTTGCTTCGTGTTTCCATCGTTATCGTTGTTCCAAATAATCAATTACCAAACAAATCTGAATTAATCCAAACGAAATCGACAAATAAGACCAGGAATTTGGATCCAAATTACTGTCCAGACAAATCCAAGGTATGAACACAGAACCAAAAATTGAAGAACTTTATGTTACGTCCAAGTTTTGCTCGTTCCAGTTATTGAAGTACGGACTATCGATTTACTTGCAAATTACGAACCCAAATTAACGACAGAACCAAGTTCCAATTTAGATACCAAATTTATTCGTAATTCACAAATAATCGACCAAATGTCGTTCTTCAATTTTGTAGGTTCCCGGAGCAAAACTCCCAAATACCAAACCAAAGACAAAGAGAGCACCAAAATACCAAACCAAAGACAAACCAAAATGTGCGAAATAATGATATAAACAAACAAGTTCAAAAGTTAAGTAAAACAATTACATCCAAAAGCACAGTAAATTATTAATGTACAATAAAAGGTTTTAATCCGCCAAAAGTCTTCAGTTCTCCCGTAACAAACAGTGCATATCAGTATCACCAGGTTACAAAAGTGCGAGACGAAACAACTGCCGAATGTGCCTGTCCATGGTGTGCAATTGATTGATGACTATATAAATTGTGGCGAACAAACTTCGCGATCTTTAATTCTAAACAATGATACATAGTGGTACTGAAAAATCGTTATGAATCGGTTTATAAAATGCTGAATAGTCTCTAGAGCGTTGAAAAGAGTTAATGTTACATCAGGCGTTACAAAGCATTTACGTCACAATGTTTTTCTGTTTGAATAGTAGTGTGAAAATGGCCAATCGCTCATTGTTAGGTCGAAAACAAAATTACAATGACATATTTCAATAAAAATTCGGATCGTGAGTTAACTTGTCTGTGCAAACCATACAGTAAACAATAGTTAACGTTGTAATTATCTATAAAACTAAAATTTAGATCGCGGTAACGTAGACACTTTGTAAAAGGCTGATGAGATAAGTTTATTGTTTTGCATTACGTAACGTATTACGTGTGGTAATACAGCGAAGTGTCTAGTTAAGACGGTTACGATGGGTTTATTTTCAGTACGTTATCTTACGAAGCATTAATATACATGATTATTATAAATTGATAAGAGGTGGAGTATGTGACTACACCATGTGAAAGCACCTACTTATTGTTGTTAAGAGTCAGCATCGCCATCAATTGAAAGTAGAAACTTGTATAAGTTACTTTCATATTTACATTGAAGATGCCGCAAGTATTTGGAGATTGACAAACCGGTAAACCTTCTGTAATCGAAACGTGCGAACCCAGTGAAATTGGAAGCCAGTAGAGAAGAGGTTGAAAGATATGATTGACAGGCTATCGGTATATCGAGAAGTGACTGATCCAAACTGCCTAGCGGTTGTAAGAATAGTTGAACACTTTGTACCAACTCGTGATATGGTGCGAATGCGTGACCGAGAGCCTTTAGCTAGGTGAGTCCATTAAAACTAATGTGGTTAGCATCAAATGCCGAAGGCTTACAAAGTCATTTATTTACCGCTATAATATAGTAGAAATTCGTAGTGGTCAGTCTCTCGATATGATAGAAATCCAAGGGAAGAGTGGACCAAATAGAAGATATCACTGAAATGGTTGTTTGAACAACGCTCGGGGGCGTTTTACTGGTCGTACAGACAATTCTATCTACCTACACCAGTAAGAAAATCAAAACTCAGGACTTCATCAACTTCATCAATGTTGTTAGAGAAGAGTGTGTAGACTGATGTCGACGAGAAATTCTAGTAGCCGTTTATCGAAAAGTTCACCTGCAAGAACAGAGTACAAGTTGGTTTGCGCCGAAATTTAGTTCGCGTAGTACAGAAAGATGATAACAGATTCGTTTGTTACATATTTTACGAAGCTAAACTCCCCTAGTCAATAAAGATCACTCGTGAGTTCTTGACCTTGGATGAAAATTAAGAGGGCATCATCTGAACGTTGAGTTTGTTTTCGTCTAACGTAAAAGTACCTGTCAGGGGATTTCCTTTAACAAGTCATAGTAAAAAGCAGTCATCTGATTCCATCAAAACGTCAGTATGAACTTTGAGGCCAATGACAAAATAGGCCACACTTTCAAGGTTATGCCTCAGACATTTTCATATAACTTCAAGTTTCAGAATTTGAAACTTTAGTATTCCTACTTAATGTGCCAAGAAATCGCCTAAGATATCTCCAGTGGGCGCTTTAAAAGGCCGAAATTTCGTCTTATCTGCTCAACTATGGGTCAAAAATGTTGGATATTGGAAAAAGGCAGCGTTCTCTATTTGAATTTGAGCGTAGCTGATGGCCGATGGCATCTCGTAAACCAAATGCGAGTGCTGTAAAAGCACTTCAAAAGGAACTTAAAGATTTGAATGAGTTCCCAATGGAGGGGTTCAAAGTTATGGTTTCTGAAGAAGAAAATCTTTTTGTTTGGGACGTCGCTATATTTGGACCACCAATGACTTTGTATGAAGGAGGTTATTTCAAGGTAGGTTACTCTTGTTGACGTAAACTTTTAGGCACGATTATGTTTCCCTGACGATTATCCATATAGTCCTCCTACAATGCATTTTCTAAGCAGGATGTATCACCCAAACATATATGAAAATGGTGAAGTCTGCATATCAATTTTACATTCCCCAGGTGATGACCCACAGAGCGGTGAGCTGCCGTCTGAGAGATGGAATCCGACACAAAACGTCAGGTTAGCATGAACCCCACTAAGTTTATTCGTTTTAGGACGATTCTTCTAAGTGTCATTTCTTTACTGAATGAGCCAAACATTCATTCAGCTGCTCATGTCGATGCATCAGTAGCTTATAGGAAATGGAAAGAGTCCAATGGAGTTCAGGATGAGTATGAACGTGTAGTTACGTAAGTTCCAAATCACTTAGTAATGAACTGACAGTCTGAAGTGTAAGAAATCAACTAATTATTCTTACAGTGGTCATAAATTGAAGCGTGTAGTTGCTAAATTATTTGGTAGAACTATTTTTTATGGACACCCTTTGAACGAATTTTTAAGTGACTTTGAAACTATTAGCCAATCGAAAGAGAGTATAAAGTAAAAACATATTAATACAGCGGATATTCTTCTTTTACATGATTTAAAAACTTGTTAAGGTTAGCTAAATGTTCAGATGTCCTGAAATCATAGTGCATGCGGTTAGGGTTAAGGTTGGAGTTAGGGTTTAGGGTTAATGTTGGGGTTTGGGGTTATGGTTAGGTTTTAGGGTTATGGCGCACTACTACAAAAGCCACAGCCAATGTTACTGGTGACTTCATAATCCAATTTGCAACAATTATCATGATTTGCCTTAGTCTGAGTCGTGATCGAGCGAAGAAAGTGCCTGTTCGAGCAGATTTTATCTTCTAACATATAGTACAACGAAATCTAATGTCATCACGGTAGTCTGCACATCGTGCTGCAGTCATTTGATTGCCACAGTCGCAGATACAGGAACTTCCTTATAATCCCATCTGTTGTAGTCGCTCAAAAATCACCTCTTCTCTAAAATCTGCTGTAAAACTATCGAATGTGAGCACCTCGTATTGAACTTAGCGCCGTGACCTTGAAATTCCTCAAACGCTTCTGATTGGCTGGTCCATAAATTAAAGTCTTACTAATTATTTCATCCCAATTATAGACAAATCTAGCGTCGTAGTTTGTGTGCTTTCACTACGAGGTTTAGCTCCTCATTATGAACGTCGTTTACTTGCTTAGTGCCACGAACAGGAAATGCCGAGTTTAAAATCCTTCATATTATTCTTCATGTTTCTGTGAAATGTATTCACTTCCATATAACACACTCGTCTGATGTTGAAGAAGCAGTTAATCATCCACGTAAGCTGCAAATCTTCGTTATTTCAGAAGTGGCTTCACATAGATTCAACTGGCAGCTAGGCAACCCACCTTAAGTTTGAGCAAACCGTGTTGCTTTTCATTGATCTAGGTGAAAAAGTTAAGATTTACTTAGATAGTTTATAGAACTTTTCAATGGTCTATCATACATGTCGTACTTTCATCCAGCACAAGTTATCGTCATAGATACCGATAGCATCGTGTCCCTTCATCCATGTTGTTGCACTTGGATCAACGAAAGCATCCAAATTTAGCCCATTTATCAAATGCAGGTTATTGGGCTGTGGAGCTCTTTGTTAAAATACTGATTGTCCAAACAGGAGTGTCATATGTAATGGTGAATCAGAAATAGTTTAGAAGGTAGTTTTGTGCAAATAGAGAGTCATCTCCCTCTCGAAATGCTCTCAAATGGTCACGCATATACAGCCACTATTAGCGAAGTCCTACTCACCTCGTGGCGGGTGTGTTGTTTACAAAAATAAGAGGACAAAAGGCGAATGTCCGGCAGTTTAACCAGGTTGGTGGATATGAAGGATTCACCTAGGGAAGCTGGTCAGCCCTGATTCCAAACCAATGGTGTTCATGGGCTTCAGTATCCTGAGGGAACAAATAGCGTATAAACCTATTGTTGGTCACCGGCTTCCATAGGACTGCATCTCCTGACGTTGTGGATTAGACCTTTAGATCGAAGGCTCCGGGTGTGGCCTCCTAAGATAACGACCTGCTTCGGTTTGGGCACCCAGGCAGTATCACGGCCCACATACAAATCAAGTGACTTGTGTGGCGCATATCTATTCGATGCCCCTTTGTACTGATATTTATGTGTTCAAATAAATAATAATAGACGTCACACTTTTTTTACCCCGAATTTTAAGCAATTTTCTAAATATCCTTTTCCTGCTTTAGATCACTCGTTAAAGCGACTCACGAGGAGGCTAAACAAGATGGAGTTACTGTTCCCACCACCCTTGAGGAATACTGTGTTAGTGGTAGACCTGCGTCTAAAACATTTTATCAATGTGATGATGTAGATGGACTGTCTGATTATGATGATCATGACGAATACTATGGCTCTGATGATGATGACAATGATAATGTATCAATTGATATGAAGGAAGATGAAGAAATCAACCCTACCAAGGAGTCTCAATCCTCTACAAAGATAGATTCTGGAGTAGAAGAACCATGTGTAAGTAAAACGGGGAAGTCTGGGGAATCCTCGAAAGTTGTCGATCATAGAATATCAAATGAATGTAGCCGTGTTACGTCACCAAGCTAGTTTATTCGTTTCGTCTTCGAGTGTGGGAGTCTTACTGGTCACTTTATACTTTTTCTTGACTGAAGCAGCAAGGATTATTAAAGTAATCCCTATGGTTTATAAATGTTGTGTTCGTAGAATTACTTATTCAGATTCACATTTTGGGTGACTTATAGTGTTTTGCATTCAATGGTCTATATTCTATTGAATGTAAAGGATTTTGTTTAGTTTTGTAAATCAAAGTTATTTTGCTATTTTGGACACTGTACATGACATCGACTACTATCACTACTGTTTTCGCTTATCTTTACTAGTTTGTAACAGTCAGACATATACACAAATACAATTCTTGTACATTTTTTTTACTTGTATTGGGCTTCCATTTTTCATTGATCTTTGTCTTTAAGTTTATCACTACTTAGAGAAAAGCGTGAACTAAGCCTATGCACAAAATTTATCATATTGTTTGCATGGTCACATTTAGTATTGTTCGCGACTTTTTATACTTTTCTCACGTTACTGTTCAAATTGCACAAAAATTGAGGACTTCAATTATCTCCTTAGCTTGTATATTTGAGATCTTTTCAGCTGTTTGGCATTTTACTTATCGGTTGATGTTGAATGACATGGGTTTCACCAAGGGAATCGGTTTGTGTCTATTTTTGTATGTTCCGTCATGTTTTAAGTATGGTAAGGATTTTTATCGCAGTAGGACAATTTGGTAGTATCTGATTACAGAATGAAACCATTCGCCTCAGGTAGCACAAAACCACCTAAATATTTTAAACGTAACAGTGTATCAGGCGCAAAGTTAATCACATCGAAAGTCATAATGTTGGATTGTGTGACGTTATTTCCCGTAATCAGTTGAAAGATGCATCTAAGAGGCCTTAAGATAATTCATCTGAAATACAGTTGATAAATGAGAATTGGCTTGTAGGACAGGTTTATCTAATCATTATATCTTTTCTAAGTAGAGTATTCGTATCATTCTTTGAAAACAGATGGATATGGATAACTGTTTCTCAGGTTTCACAATCCCAGATCTGTATTCAGTTGAATACTAGGATTAATATAATTTAATTGAATTAACTCAAATAGCCTTGTTTAGTTAGGTCAGAGTGATTATTCATGGTTATTGAAGAAAAGGATTTCAGTTCGCATAAGCTCGAACAGTTATGGATAAAATTCGTTTATGTGGAATTGCACTAAATCGTTTGAAACATTTGCTTTTAATGTAAAATCTTTTCAGTCTGATAAGTGTCGTTTATCAAACAATTGACCAAGATTAGTAGTTGGGTTTTCGTTGTGGATTGTGATTATTACATGTTTATCTACTCATTCTCTCAGGATCCTCAGAATTTACGTATTAGTTTAAATGTAGATTTTCAGTCATTTAGTGTGAAAATTCTCACCGACTTATTTTATTGCAGTCTCAATAAATAAACGTTATGTCCTTGTGGTGGTGGTGGGGCATTTCGTTACTTTTAGGTTTATATACATTATTAGTTACATATAAATCACTTGCTTTCTCAAATCTAAACTCAGAACCGCTAAACTTATGGATACTAGTAAACTTATCAGGCTACGAACAAGTTAAGGAGCCAAGGTAACTTAAATGTAGGCTGACAACAAGTCTACACAATGATCGTGAGCAGTTGTGTGTAGCTAAGGCAAAAGTGATGGGAAAAGCGGCGGCGGCGGGTAACAACAAAATTATTAAAGAAATATGTACTAAAAATTCGGGAGTTAGTGAAACGACTTCTCAGAAAGACTAGACATTGATCCACTCTCAATACAGAATAATGCGACGATGGATAGAACAGTTTAACTACTCTCCAGCTACACTTCGATTGCCTACTTTCACCAAGCAAGCTGAATGAGATGTCGACCAAAGCCTCCTGACTCTTGAAGAAGTAGGAAAAAGCATGGTTAGTTCGAAACAAGGGTGTGTAGCAAGCCCTGATGGGTTGACCTCCTAGAGTTCGTTAAGGGTGGCAGTCCAGTTCTGGCTGTTAGATTGAGATATTAGTTGGAGACTGGGAATCGGAAGTAATCCTGTCTGACTGGTCTCAATCACTGATTGTCCCAGTCTATAAGCAGGGATAAAGTCTTCGTGTGATAAACCACAGAGAAATCAGACCAACTAACATAGCGTTTAAAATATCAGCCTCCGTAGTCATCCAACCCCCAACTAGGGCATATGAAGAGCGAAGTCAAGAAAACTAGTGGTTTGAAATTTGGGTGTGGATGTGTAGATCGAATATTCACCTCTTTTTTCAGGTTCTGGGACACACACCTATCAACTCTCAACCACAATTGTATTTCCCGACTTTGAGGCAGCGTTCGACTCTGTTGATTGACAAGTTTTATGGTAGTAGTTATTACTCAAATGCGTACTGAAGAATCGCACCAACCTTGTACAAGCTATCTACTCGAATACTACTGGTGGAGTGAAAGCTCATAGCGAATCGTCATCGGAAGTGATGACCTCAATTGGTGTTCGTCAGGCTATCCACCTTCCTCATTTTAATCTAACTTTGTAATATTGACTTTTTCCGGAGATAACGTTCTCATCATCTGATTTTTCGGAGGTTAATCTTCTACTAAGAGATTCACTTGTTGACTTAAAATACACAGATGATTTAGTTCTGTTTGATGAGAACATTTACAAAATTCAGAGTCTTCTGACTACGTTAAGCAAAAATGGATTGATATTTGGTATGTGTTTCTCTCCTTCCAAGTACAAAATGTTTTTTCAGTGGCTGGTCGGCATCAACAGTTGAACTAATAATAGGTAATGAATTGGTTGAGTTTGTCGATCGCTTCACTTAGCTCGAAAGCTTAATCATCTCAGTTTGATTGGTGTCGGAAGAAATCTCGACATGCATTCTAAAAGCTCGACTGACTTTTGCTAACTTTTGGCTTGGATGAGATATAGAAACCAAGACATGAAATTAATTTTTGGAAATAGTGATTTTTGAATTGATCAACGTAGGTTGGTGGAGACCACCTGGTTGAAGTTAGCGTGATTATCGTGATGAATGTTTATAGACTTTGGATGTTATGGCTCAAAATCGTTCGCCATGACGTAGGTCCACTCTGTCTTTCCACTATATTCTAATTTCCTTATACACGTTTCTACTTCACTAATTTGTATTATCTCCTCGAATCGTATCTTGGACGTCTAAGCTTTTATAGTGCCACTAATACTGCTACTATCTTTAATAGTATGGGATTCGCCCTTAAAATTTCATCTCGCTTTCCCAATGGAGTATGAAAACTTGGATCGTTATTTGAACGTACCATGTTCTGTGTGGCGTATGACTGTCTAAGATTAATATCAGTTTGTCAGTATATGTTTCTGTGACTATCGATATTGTCATGGAGTGCCACGAAATACCCTGGTACGGCTGAGGGTGTGGAGAGTCAGATCTCCCCCCCCCAAATGCTCTCACATGGCCATGCATATACAGCCACTATTAGCGAAGTCCTACTCACCTCGTGGCGGGTGTGTTGTTTACAAAAATAAGAGGACAAAAGGCGAATGTCCGGCAGTTTAACCGGGTTGGTGGATATGAAGGATTCACCTAGGGAAGCTGGTCAGCCCTGATTCCAAACCAATGGTGTTCATGGGCTCCAGTATCCTGAGGGAACAAATAGCGTATAAACCTATTGTTGGTCACCGGCTTCCATAGGACTGCATCTCCTGACGTTGTGGATTAGACCTTTAGATCGAAGGCTCCGGGTGTGGCCTCCTAAGATAACGACCTGCTTCGGTTTGGGCACCCAGGCAGTATCACAGATCACACACAAATAAAACCAAATGACAATAATTACTGGAAATACTGTTCTTGCTTCAATTAAAGTTCAAACAATTCATTTTATAACATTCATTTTTATTTTTTTATATACGGCGTCACTTATCTACTCTCTTCTATTCTCGATTTGTGTATCCTTATTTTTCAACTTATACAGCAACTCACCCATGGCGGAAAATCTGTTTTATCCAAACGATCTCGAGTTACTGACTGGTCGAAAGTTGAATGCTACCACCGAATACGAATACTGACACAGTCTTTCTGAACCCACATATACTATTCAAACTGGCTTCCTTCAACGTTCGCACACTAATGCAAATCGGACAACAAAAGGGGTTGGCTATGTATTTAGAATGTCTTAGTATCGACGCCCGTTGTCTATCCGAGACCCGCATTCAAGACTCCAGTGAAACACTATAAATTCGCTCTCCATCTGTCGCTGTTTTACATGCGTTTATCCGGGGACCCTGTGGCATTTTCGTCTGGTTCCGCTGGCATTTGTGTCACACCAAGCTCTAGAGCTGAGGCAGCACTGATCGATTAGATACCCACTAACAGACGGTTATGTGCTGTTAGATTAGGAAGTCCCATCAAAATGAAGAGAAATCGGTGTAAGAAACAATACCTTTTCGTAATCCCTGCGTATGCCTCGACAGCTTGCAGCTCCGATGCAATCAATGATGGATTCTACCACCAGTTAACTGTTCTTCTTCAGAAAGTGCGTTCGACAGATATTGTAGTACTAGCCGGAGACTTGAATGCTCAGGTCGGGCGTCTAGGCACAGAAGAAAGTCGTTTAGGTCTCCGATGGGGACTTGGTCGCAAGTCAGAAAAAAATGGTAACCATCCACTACAACTTTACGCAGACTACAACCTGTTTCTGGTTAGCACTAACTTTCGGCACAGTCATCGCCGATGTGCCACCTGGTGTCCTTCCTCTGCATCTCAAGCATGGACTCAGATTGATCACATCGCGACCAGCTACCGCTGGCGTGGTTGTGTACAAGACTGCCGATCCTTTTGGAGTACCTATCTGGACTTTGACCGTGCCCTGGTCTGCGCCAATCTTACTTTACTTTTCAGTGGACAACGAAGTGACCGCCACCAAAGAATTGATGTCAGCAAGTTGGTTGTAACTAAGTATCGAACCGAGCTAGCTACCATTCCACCGAAAAGTATGGATGAGCATTGGTTGCAACT